TGACTAACAAAAGCTACATACACCCACTGACTAACAAAAGCTACATACACCCACTGACTAAATAAAGCTACATACACTCACTGACTAACAAAAGTAACATACACCCACTAACTAATGAAAGCTACATAAACCCAATGACTAACGAGAGCTATGTACACCCACTGACTAACTAAAGGCTTTCGTTAGTCATTGGGTTTATGTAGCTTTCGTTAGTTAGTGGGTGTATGTTGCTTTTGTTAGTCAGTGGGTGTATGTAGCTTTAGTTAGTCAGTGGGTGTATGTAGCTTTGTTAGTCAGTGGGTGTATGTAGCTTTTGTTAGTTAGGGGGTGTATGTAGTTCATACACTCACTGATTAATGAAAGTAACACATTAGGCCATCAAAAAATTAATGTCACATTTTGGAACACTTTCATTAACTAGCCCCCAAAAAATTTATATCATGTATAATAGTTAAACAAACTGCCTAAACATCATGTTAGTGTAGTCTATATAACGTGTAAAGTTTAGTATACTCTAATCTCTTATAGTGATGGCGCACAATGAGACACACATTCGGAATGTAATGCTGTTTGAACACAAGAAGGGAAACAGCACCTCTGTAGCCACAAAGAATATCAAAGAAGTTTATGAAAATGTCTTGAATGTTTGTAAATGTCAATGATGGTTCAGCAAATTACGTTCAGGTGACTTTAGCCTTAAAAACTGTGATAGCAGGGGCTGACATATTAGAATTAATGTTGATGCTCTGAAGACGCTTGTTAAGTCTAACCCCAAAACAAAACACTCGTGAGATGGCCCTGAAATTGCATGTTTCTCATGAAACAATATGTAAACATCTAAGGAACATGGGTAAACTCCATAAAGAAGGTGTTTGGGTGTCTCACGAACTGTCTGATGATCACTATTTCCAACTTGTGAATGTTGCTTCGTCTCTTCTGGTGCGTAATGTGTGTGAACCATTTTTGGACATAATTGTCACTGGTGGTGAAAAATGGATTCTCTATGCAAATATTAAATGCCATTAACAATACCACAGTCCTAGACAAAAACCACTTCTGATCTCAAAACCTGGACTCCATCTGCAGAAAGTGATGCTTTGCATTTGGTGGAACATCAAAGCAGTAATTCATTTTGAACTCCTCAATCCACAGTGAACTGTCGATGCAGATATCTATAGTCAGCAACTGGAACATCTAAATCAGGCCCTTCATCAGAAACACCCTTAACTTGTGAATCGGAAAGGTGTTCTTCTTCTCCATGACAATGCACGTCCACAGGTGGCATGTTTGACACAACACGAGATTATGGAGTTAGGTTGGGAAGTTCTCCCCACCCACCATATTCTCCAGATATGGGACCATCAAATTACCATCTTTTTCATTCCCTGCAACACCATCTTAACGGGAAAACGTATGCAAATGTGGAAGGTGTTAAAGAGGACAGTGACATGTTTTTTGCT